TGGATAGTTCCGAAAAAGAAACTACACTATTTACTTGCAAGTGCAACCTAAGCAGCAGGGCGAAATAAAATTCTTTCCAAACATAGAATGTTTAATCAAGCATAGTGTGGCATTAATTTTGAATTATTTTTGGAGTGAGCGAGAAGCCTGTTCATGCACGGAGCTTTTATCCTAACAATGAAGATAATGACTGAGGAAATTGAGAGCCGATGGGGTCGCCGAAAGTTTACGCCTGATCTTGTGGTTGCACCGTCTACCTCTGCACCGTCCCACACAGTAAATGTCTTACGTTGAAATGATGCACCAACATATTATGGTGGAGATTTTCTCCATAAATCTCTATAAGGTACCGTAAATTCTCAATGGTATGTTACGAAGTCAGCTGCACCACCATAATATGGAACATTTTCACCATAATATGGCGAATCTTCACTGTACAACATTTAGAGTGCAGCCGCACCTTTCTGAGCCTTCGCCGTCTTATACTTCATCACCAGCACTAAGTTCACCATCCAACGGATTTAGTCCCCCTAAAGGTGCAGTGAACACTGAGCCAAGCAGTACTTGAAAGCCAAAACATGCAAAATTATTCTCTTTTCCCAATCTACTGAAACCCACAAGATTTTCAACGGCAATTAGAAAACAATATACTACTGGCAAACGGCCGCAAGCCAGAACATCTCAACATGCTGTTGAGCTGATGACGCATCTTCAAAGAAGAAATGATTTCAAACCACCCGCATGTAACACCACTGAGAAGTGTGATGTTTGGATGAGAAGATGTGGTTCGTAAGAGAAGGTCGGGCATCATGTGACAGGGCTACCATGTGACATTAGCTTTTTCTCCCAAACGGCTTGCTATCCAACAGCGGTAAGAAGACTCGAAAGAAGGTATCATGAAGTAGCATCAAAGTGCAATAGCTCGTAAATCTCCTTCGAAAAGGACGAGAATGGTAGCGATCACACTCTTAAAAGCCTACGAAGCAGGCTACGAAGCATTTGCTTCGTAACTGCAAAGAAAATGAAGGCATTGTAGAATGGCTTCGTATTATGAAGAAATGCTTCCGAATGCTTCGTATTGCGAAAGATTCTGTTTCGTAATACGAAGCATTTCTTCGTAGAATTTACACAGTAAAAACTCTACGAAGAATCGCTTCGTAATACGAAGAAAATGAAGGCATTCTTAAATCTACGAAGAAATGCTTCGTGAAGCAAAATCCTTCGTAATACCAAGCATTTCTTCGTAATACCAAGCATTTCTTCGTAATACCAAGCATTTCTTCGTAATACCAAGCATTTCTTCGTAATACCAAGCATTTCTTCGTAATACGAAGCAATTCTACAATGCCTTCATTTTCTTCGTAGTTAAGAAGCAAATCCTTCGTAGGCTTTCAAGAGTGTACAATGCCTTCAATTTCTTCGTATTACAAAGCGGTTCTTTGTAGAGTTTTTACTTTGTAGAATTGGAAACCCTCTTAAAACAGCTTATTAGAAACTTTTTCTATTTCACGGCGCGTCCGCGTTTTACACTCTCGTTCCAGGAACGTGACATCACGTTTGAGCATTGTGTCACGTTCTTTTGAATGTGAAGAAGCTGATTTTTCGGCAATTTATACCCAAACCAACGTGACGTGGAATGAGAGTGTACCTTTTGAATTCATTTTGACGACATATGCCTTAAGCGCCAAATTAGCTTTGGCTCGATTCTCTATGACATTAAGTTAGAGCGTTATTGTTGTTTCCCCCAAAACTGCTGATCTGGGCACTATCACTGTTTTTCCATATGCGATGAGGACCGCTCTTTCTGCGCAATACAAATTTCATCGCACCATTCTGTAATGGTCATTGCAAAAAGATGTGATGCGCTACAGTATCGCAGAATTTTGCAATGATCATTGCGAAAAACTGTAATGATTGCAGATTTTGTGTTGTCATCACTGGTAAAACTAAGGCGTAGTATTACGCCTCTTTGAAGCGTACTAAAGGCTGGAACGCCCTGCTTCAAGCGTAGAGTTTGTACGCTTGAAGCCAAGCGCACTCAAGCCAGGTCAGAAATTCTTACGCCCTGCTTCAAGCGTAAAGTCAGTACGCTCAATTTCAAGCGTAAAGAAAACCTATGCTCAATTCTACAAGCACAGGAGAATGCGCACATTCATTGTGTGAAACCAGCTTAATTTAATTTCAGATAATATCTTACATTAGCTTCATGCATCCTTCATACAATAAATGAACTTTCAAAGAAAATTACAAAATGTATGAAAAAGATGTTTGGGGGTCCAAGTCCTATAGGCCTTTAGGACTCCGGAACACTCCAAAAGTGTTTACACCTGGCGCAGTTCCGGCATTCACTCTTGAGACACTTACCTTGTAGTGCTATCCATTAATTGTTCCTGCTGGTTTGGTTTTAATGTTTATGATTTGTTTCTTATAGTCTCAGACCGCTGGCGCTGGTTTTCATGTTTCCTGATGACATGCTGAAGGCCTAGCCCCACAGACAGACTGCATAACCTCTTGGTGCTGATAGGACAGTTCGATTTTACTCTACTTTCAAGTTTGTGAGTATGCTGTGACTGTGAGCATTAAGATTTCTTCGGGCGACACACTGGGCACAACTTCAAAATGCTTGACATGGTGCAAATGGTGAAACTGATCCGTTTGAAATAAAGTTTGTCAACACAAACACACATCTTGACTATTCACCCTCAGTCTCGAGTGCAAATAAGTTACTTGTTGCTTTTCACACTCCGGGGTGTATAAAGCAAAAAATATCGCTTGAAATTGAGCGTACTGACTTTACGCTTGAAGCAGGGCGTAAGAATTTCTGACCTGGCTTGAGTGCGCTTGGCTTCAAGCGTACCTCTTCTTTACGCTTGAAGTCAAGCGCAGAAGTACGCTTCAAGATTTTACGCTTGAGGAAAGGCGTAATACTACGCCTTAGTTTTACCAGTGATCATCACAGTTTTTTGCAGTTATTCCGATTTTCATTGCAGACTTTTATGCGATACAGAAGACATTGCATCTCAGGAGCAATGATTCATGGGAATCGCATTTTGGATATCATGGCCCCGGCCGATTTTACATTGAAACCCAAATTTTGAGCAAAACAAGCCAATAGCGGCCGAGAAAAATGATATTTTCAGTTTTAGCAAAAAATACCATAAAGTTGTCAGAGAAATCGAAAATTGGTCATATCTTCCAAACCGTTTATTTTTCGGACCTAAAATTTTGGGGCATTTTTCAGACACCTATGACCAAAAAATGAGCGAAATCGGCGCCGGTCGTGTTCCTCGACAAAATTGCCTCAAAGAGGTCGGCCTCTGCGAGCGGCTAGGCTAGGTGTACCACATCGTCTTACTTTCACACAGCAAATCCTAACTGTCTTGTTTTTGCAACTGTTTTGTTCCTTCAGATTCTACCTCTTGCCTATGCACTTATCGAATTACGGAGTCAGGTGGCTCATGGGGACTTACTCACCCACAACAGGCGTGTAGTCCCTGACCTTGATCCGGATTTTTTACATGTCTGATTTTGAAACAGCTCAACAAAATGCTGCTTTGGAAACTTTCCCTCGGGTCAGGCTGACTGGTTGCCTTTGGCATTTTGCTCGGGCGGTGTGCCGTAACGTCAGGTCCCTGGGGATCCATCCATAGTTCGAGACAACCAGAACGCTAGAAGGATAGTCCGCATGAGTGTTGCGATACCTTTAGCACCACCAGGTCGCCTCTTCGAAGCTCTGAATGCTGTTGTATTGGAGGCTCGAAGACTGGGTCTTCACGACCAGCTTATGGACCTCTTCAACTACCTCCGAGCCACCTGGATTGAAGGCATTGGTTCTATCTGTGTACGGAGTTCCTCACCGAACAAACATTGTTGCAAAAGCACATAACAGAAACATCAACTCCGAAGAAATTCCATTCAGCATCCACTCCGAAGTCTTGTTGGCTGAGCGACAGCAAAGCCTGTTACTCCAGTGGGGTTGAAAAGTTTTTTCTGTCTGTCTGTGTGTCTGACTGTCTGTGTGTCCGCACTTCTTATGAATGGCTCGGCCGATCTCGGTGAGATTTTGCACACTTATTGGGTATGTTCTTGGCTCGGCACACGCGAAATTTCACTATCCTAGCTCAACTTGTTCAGTTTTTATGGCCGAAAAATACAGAAAAAATCGAGTTTTCTGCAGGCAGATCAATTCTGTCTTGAAGAAAGTGGGGGTCTGGGTCAGGGTATGGAAAGAGACCGTGGTGGGGGTAGGCACTAAAAAGGGCGCGAATAAGGTTTCCCCATTCTTACACTACAACGGGAAGAAAATTACGAACCAGTTTTCCGACATAAAAACCAACAAAACAGCATTAATGCGGCTCATCATGATGTTATTTCAATAATTGGCTGAGCGATAGCGAAGCCTGTTACTCCATTGGGGTTGAAAAGTTTTTCCTGTCTGTGTGCGTGTGTGCGTGTGTGTCCGCACTACTCCTCCTGAACGGCTAGGCCGATCTCGGTGAGATTTCGCACACTTTTTGGGCATGTCCTTGGCTCGGCACACGCGAAATTTCTCTATCCTAGCTCAACTGGTTCAGTTTTTACAGCCGAAAAACACCCAAAAAACGGCGAAAAATCGAGTTTTTTGCAGGCAGATCACCTCTGCCTTAGAGAAGGGGGGTCTGGGGGGCGGAGCCCCCCAGCCCCGACAAGTTAATAAGTCACAAGGGATCTAGAATGAAGGGGGGTCTGGGTGGCGGAGCCCCCCAGCATGCATCAAGTAAGAAGTAACCGACGATGGACAAGCCATTGCCTGCCGAAGGCAGACTAGCGCCGCAGGCCAAGGTAGGTGCGCCAGGCGCGGATTGAGGAACAGGCAGCGAGACATCGCGAAGCCTGTTACGACAAGACGCGGTCTGGCGTAAACCTACCTTGTATAATTTATGATTCAGCCTTTTAGTGTCCGTATTCTATCCAGATTGGAGTTTAAAATATCCGAAATTTTATCCTGGAAAGTTGGTGAAAAACGAAATTGACGCCTTCCGCACCGGCCGCCATGGCATCATTTGCGATTGAAAATGGCAGGAGAGAACGTAAGTTTCACCTAGAACTTCTTTTTTTTCTGTTTAATCCTGTCTTAATTTTATCTAGGAACATGCCTAATGTTGTGAAATGTTCTGTTCATGGATGTCCAAACACCAATAAGACGCATCCCCTCCACAAGTTTCCTCAAAACGACACAGACAGGTACGTGAATGGGGTTAGAGCACATGGAGCGCATTTGCGTGCACACCATTGCACTCTAAGTTTTTTGTATCCACTCTCCGTAACCTGTGAGATGTGGAAATTATCGCGATGACCTGTTCGTCTTAAGATTTTATCGGATTTTCCTTTCTAAAGGTTTTTTTTCTTACAATGCTCTGTCTTAGGTGTTTGAAATGGGTTCGACTGTCTGGAAATCCGAAGCTTCTCAATGTTCCATTGAAGGATATGCACAAGAAGAAAATATGCAAAGATCATTTCTCCCGTAGAATGTTTTGGAACAACACCCTGAAAACCCTGAATAGGGATGCAGAGCCTGACATCCTCCGTAATGTGACACCCCTCACTACAGACCAGCTGAGTGTTGCGAGTGAAATTTTGGAAAAGTCCTTCCAAGTAACTTTTTTATGAAGATAATCACCCTGAAATATTCTAATGAGATGAAAAGTTTCTCTCCTAGGTGACCGCTGTAGGAGCAGGAGGATGTCAGTGTAGTGTAAATCCAATGAAACTAGTTTTTCTCGATTTGTTTCATTCAATTAATTTTGCAGTTTTTCACATCCGAACAAATATGTTTTAATCTCTAGACTTCTTATTTCAGCTACTGCTGCCTGTTGGTTGTGGATGTGGCGTTGTTTGCCTTGTTTAGACAGGAATCAACTTTGGAAGCTGCTTTGTTGTTGTCATTTAAACTTATGCTATTATCAAGATCAAAGCATTTATTGAAATGCATTTTTAATGTGGACAAAACTGTAAGTGAGGTTATAATTATGGAAGCGCTGCTCGCTGGGGGCTCCGCCCCCAGACCCCCGCATGTGTGGGGCGCGTGCCGAAGTATTTTCCGTGGTGACCAAAGGCAAATTTTCTAAGGAAGTAAATGTGCTGCTCCTTTGAAAGGTCTATTTAACAGGTTTTGACCATATAATTAAGCTACTTTTACTGCCCAAATAGATAGCTTGTGTTGCATTGGCTACTGTGGCAGTCAATGGGTGCATACAAGGTCCGGAAAATATTGAAGACTGCTTTGACAAGGATAGAGGTGAATGAAAAAAAACCGCAAGTCTCTACGACCACTCCTTGACCCCAAACATTTCTATGAGTGAGTCAGTGAGTGAGTCGCAGTCAGTCAGTCGGATTGGGGCTATATAGATTCTTGACTCGCGCTGCTCGCTGGGGGCTCCGCCCCCACACCCCCGCATGTGTGGAGCGCGTGCCGAAGTATTTTCAGTAAGTCCGTGGTGAGCAAAGGCAAATTTTCTAAGGAAGTAAATGTCCTGCTTCTTTGAAAGCTCTATTTAACCGCTTTTGACCATATAATAAGGCTACTTTTACTGCCCAAATAGATAGCTTGTATTGCATTGGCTACTGTAGCAGTCAATGGGTGCATACAAGGTCCGGAAAATATTGAAGACTGCTTTGACAAGGATAGAGGTGAAAGGAAAAAAACCTTAAGTCTCTACGACCACTCCTCGACCCAAAACATTTCTTTGAGTGAGAAAGTGAGTGAGTCAGTCAGTCAGTCGGATTGGGGCTATATAGATTCTTGAAGATGATTGCCCAATTGCCGGTGGCGGGGTCCCGATTACGGCACAGTTTCGGAAATTCTCGACCAGACATACCGATGGGGCGAATAAAATTTTTTAGTCATTCGGTCCCCTTTTTGGAAGATTGAGTAGCTTTGCTCGGAAATAGTAAGAATTTTTTACTTTTGAGATTTTTCCCAATTTTCCCATTAAATTTGGAATCGAATGGAAAAACCCGCAGGTCTCTACGACCACTCCTTGACCCCCAACATTTCTATGAGTGAGTAAGTCAGTGAGTCAGTCAGTCGGATTGGGGCTATATGGGTTCTTGATGATTGGTGAGTGAGGGAGTCAGTCAGTCGGATTTTGGGGCTTTATAGGTTCTTGATGACAATTGATGATTGATTTTGAGTATGTTGCCGGTGACGGGCACAGTTTCTGAAATGTCGCGACTTGATCTACCGATTGGGCTAATAAAAATTTTTAGTCGGTCGGTCCCCTTTTTTGAAGATTGAGTGGATTTTGTTGAATTTAGGCCTATTAAATCGTTTTTTGAGGATGTTGCCGGTGACGGGGACCCGATTGCGGCACAGTTCCAGAAACCGCTCGACCAGACCTACCGATGGGGCGAATAAAATTTTTTAGTCGGTCGGTCCCCTTTTTTGAAGATTGAGTGGACTTTGATAAATTTAGGCCTATTTAATCGTTTTTGAGGATGTTGCCGGTGACGGGAACCCGATTGCGGCAAAGTTTCGGAAATGTCTGGACCAGACCTACCGATGGGGTGAATAAAAATTTTTAGTCGGTCGGTCCCCTTTTTTGAAGATTGAGTGGATTTTGTTGAATTTAGGCCTACTTATTCGTTTTTGAGGATGTTGCCGGTGACGGGGACCCGATTGCGGCACAGTTTCGGATATGTCTCGACCAGACCTACCGATGGGGCGAATAAAAATTTTTAGTCGGTCGGTCCCCTTTTTTGAAGATTGAGTGGATTTTGTTGAATTTAGGCCTATTTAATCGTTTTTGAGGATGTTGCCGGTGACGGGGACCCGATTGCGGCACAGTTTCGGAAATGTCTCGACCAGACCTACCGATGGGGCGAATAAAAAATTTTAGTCGGTCGGTCCCCTTTTTTGAAGATTGAGTGGATTTTGTTGAATTTAGGACTATTTAATCGTTTTTGAGGATGTTGCCGGTGACGGGGACTCGATTGCGGCACAGTTTCGGAAATGTCTCGACCAGACCTACCCATGGGGCGAATAAAAAATTTTAGTCGGTCGGTCCCCTTTTTTGAAGATTGAGTGGATTTTGTTGAATTTAGGCCTATTTAATCGTTTTTGAGGATGTTGCCGGTGACGGAAACCCGATTGCGGCACAGTTTCGGAAATGTCTCGACCAGACCTACCGATGGGGCGAATAAAAATTTTTAGTCGGTCGGTTCCCTTTTTTGAAGATTGAGTGGATTTTGTTGAATTTAGGCCTATTTAATCGTTTTTGGCCCGCCCTTCTATTCAAAAAATAGGGGGAGGGCCTATGCATTTGCCTTTGTGTCTGTGTGTTGTTGTTGTTGTTGTTGTTGGCGTCTGTGTCCAAGGAAGGAGTTGAGCTAGAGTAACCAGATTTGGAGGGTACTTCAGGAGTACCGTCCAAACAAATAATCCGGTGGTGCAAATCCCGTCCGGGTCGCACAAGGGCTGCTGCAGGTGCATCATGGTTTACATGGGCGGGAGGGGGATTTCCGCCATTATTGGTGCTAGCAGGGCACATAGGGGTATTTTTGGAATCGGGGCGACGAGACAAGATGAATGGACCTGGTCTCGACCCCATCGGCCGCTTTTACAAGTTGGCCAGATCAGGATCTTCAAAAAAGGGGGTCGACCGACTAAAAAAATTTATTGCAGATTTCGATTGGTCTCAGCAAGACCTTTTCAACGAGGGGTCGGAAAGGGGGTCCAGGAGCCCGACTTCGTCTATTAGTCACATCAGGATCTTGAAAAAAGGGGGTCGACCGACTGAAAATTTTTACTTAAGTTTTGGACAGTTCTTGGCAAGACCTCTTCAACGAGGGGTCGGAAGGGGGGTCCAGGAGCCCGCCCTCATGAGTTATGGGAAAAAGTGCGACGGACTCGTTTTGCGCTCCTGCTGTGCCTCTATTGCAAGGAGTTGAAGTAGCATGGCAAATATGGGTATTTTCGGAATGAGGGCGAAGAGACAAATGAAATGGGCATATTCTTAGGACAGTTGGAGTAAAAAGTGTAAGGACTATTGCATATTGTGAATACAAGGGCGGGCCTAAGTCACGATGGTACATCGATAACTTTGCTTTACCCGCTCTCGGTGTGTGTGATGCGAGCGGGCCGAAGGCCCGGGCCTTCGACAGGCCAAGTTGGGTCTGATGCGAGGGCCGAAGGCCCGAGAAAAGGCCGCCGGCAGGCCAAGCTGGGCCGGCCCCCTGTCGAACCGAGTTGGCGGCGCAGCGAAGCGGAGCTGGCAACTCGGTTCGACGGAAGGGCGGGCCCTAGCTTGTTGAAGATTGAGTGGATTTTGTTGAATTTAGGCCTATTTAATCGTTTTTGAGGATGTTGCCGGTGACGGGGACCCGATTGTGGCACAGTTTCGGAAATGTCTCGACCAGACCTACCGATGGGGCGAACAAAAATTTTTAGTCGGTCGGTCCCCTTTTTTGAAGATTGAGTGGATTTTGTTGAATTTAGGCCTATTTAATCGTTTTTGGCCCGCCCTTCTATTCAAAAAATAGGGGGAGGGCCTATGCATTTGCCTTTGTGTCTGTGTGTTGTTGTTGTTGTTGTTGTTGTTGGCGTCTGTGTACAAGGAAGGAGTTGAGCTAGAGTAACCAGATTTGGAGGGTACTTCAGGAGTACCGTCCAAACAAATAATCCGGTGGTGCAAATCCCGTCCGGGTCGCACAAGGGCTGCTGCAGGTGCATCATGGTTTACATGAGCGGGAGGGGGATTTCCGCCATTATTGGTGCTAGCAGGGCACATAGGGGTATTTTTGGAATCGGGGCGACGAGACAAGATGAATGGACCTGGTCCCGACCCCATCGGCCGATTTTACCAGTTGGCCAGATCAGGATCTTCAGAAAAGGGGGTCGACCGACTAAAAAAATTTATTGCAGATTTCGATTGGTCTCAGCAAGACCTTTTCAACGAGGGGTCGGAAAGGGGGTCCAGGAGCCCGACTTCGTCTATTAGTCACATCAGGATCTTGAAAAAAGGGGGTCGACCGACTGAAAATTTTTACTTAAGTTTTGGATAGGTCTTGGCAAGACCTCTTCAACGAGGGGTCAGAAGGGGGGTCCAGGAGCCCGCCTTCATGAGTTATGGGAAAAAGTGCGACGGACTCGTTTTGAGCTCCTGCTGTGCCTCTATTGCAAGGAGTTGCAGTGGCATGGCAAATACGGGTATTTTCGGAATGAGGGCGAAGAGACAAATGAAATGGGCATATTCTAAGGACAGTTGGAGTAAAAAGTGTAAGGACTATTGCATATTGTGAATAGAAGGGCGGGCCTAAGTCACGATGGTACATCGATAAGTTTGCTTTACCCGCTCACGGTGTGCGTGATGCGAGCGGGCCAAAGGCCCGGGCCTTCGACTGGCCAAGTTGGGTCTGATGCGAGGGCCGAAGGCCCGAGAAAAGGCCGCCGGCAGGCCAAGCTGGGCCGGCCCCCTGTCGAACCGAGTTGCCGGCGCAGCGAAGCGGAGCTGGCAACTCGGTTCGACGGAAGGGCGGGCCCTAGCTTGTTGAGGATGTTGCCGGTGACGGGGACCCGATTGCGGCACAGTTTCGGAAATGTCTCGACCAGACCTACCGATGGGGCGAATAAAAATTTTTAGTCGGTCGGTCCCCTTTTTTGAATATTGAGTGGATTTTGTTGAATTTAGGCCTATTTAATCGTTTTTGAGGATGTTGCCGGTGACGGGGACCCGATTGCGGCACAGTTTCGGAAATGTCTCGACCAGACCTACCGATGGGGCGAATAAAAATTTTTAGTCGGTCGGTCCCCTTTTCTGAAGATTGAGTGGATTTTGTTTAATTTAGGCCTATTTGATCGTTTTTTGAGGATGTTGCCAGTGACGGAGACCCGATTGCGGCAAAGATTCGGAAATGTCTCGACCAGACCTACCGATGGGGTGAATAAAAATTTCTAGTCGGTCGGTCCCCTTTTTTGAAGATTGAGTAGGTTTGCTCGGAAACGGTGAGAAATTTGTTCCCCTTTTTTGTAGATAAAGTAGGTTTTCTCGGAAACGGTGAGGAATTTTCAACTTTTGGGATTTTTCCCAATTTTCCCATAAAATTTGGAATCGAATGGAAAAAACCGCAAGTCTTTACGACCACTCCTTCACCCCAAACATTTCTATGAGTGAGTGAGTCAGTGAGTGAGTCAGTCGGATTGGGGCTTTATAGGTTCTTGATTAGCTGTGTGCTTCCTTTTTGCACGATGCATTAAGTTACTTCTTTCCACAAGCTTCGCTCTTCCTCTTTGATATTTTCGTCTGCATTTAGGCTGCTTTGATTTCTGCTTTTCAAATTACTGAAGTGTGGTTTGCTGTTTCATTTTCCCTCTTTATATTTTAAAGCTTTGCTTGTACTGCTTTTAATTGTCTTTGTCACAGACTGTACATGCTCTTCTTGGTTGTGCTGGTGGTTTTTTTCATGTATTTGGAACCTAGCAAGATTTTGATGTGGATTTTACTGCTGAATAAATTGACTTTTTTGGAAAGTCCCCTAGCTCGATCTTCTTCACAAAATCTTAAAAGGAATGGCAATGCAGCATTTTCATGCTCTTATGTGCTTTGATTCTCCTTTTCTTTCTGTCTCTCTTGACATGAGTGCATGAACTAATTTGAGGGCTTTTTGCTTGTATTTTGTGCCCTTGGATTGCATCCATATGCTAGTCTTGTGCAAAGAGTGCTTTTTTTTCATTGGCTGTGCTAACTTACTTTTGTATTTTCCACAGGGCTTACTGAAGTGGTTCCTACTCAAGCTGACGTGGGATCTGCGGGCACTGAAGTACCACTTCCCAGTGTACCAATTGATTTTGCTGCAGAAGAGCCTATTACTGTGCATGTTGAGGTGGAGACAGATTCAATTCAGGCTACAATGGGGCCTGTCTGCATTGAAGCACCTCTTCCCAGTGTACCACTTGACGTTGCTGCAGAAGAACCTGTTACTGTCCGTGTTGAGACAGACTCGGAGAAAGGAGAAAATCAGCCTTCAAAGAATGCAGCCCAAGAAGAAAATCCACCTTCAAAGTCATCACAGAGCAAGAATGTAGCTGCAATAGCACAGAAGATATCTCAGCAACGAGTTTCAAAACTGTCAGTCCTGAAAGAAGCTGGTGTCGAGAAGGATGGCTTGTCTGATGACGCCTCTAAATTACTAAGAGTCGCTCACATGTATAAATCCAGGTTGGCAAGGTCCGAGAAGAAATTGAAAGAAGCTAATAGTCGATTGGTAGACTTAGAGAAGCCAGAAAGTCATGCAAGAGTCCTCTCAGACAAAATCTCGCCTGCACTTAATGTTTTGCTTAAAGGAGAACTATTAAATGGGTCACGAGACCCCCGTGGTCGTGATTGGTGTGAAGAGTCTAAATGCTTGAGCCTTGTCATAAAATCATGTTCTCGTAAAACATATTCCCTTCTGGAGAAAATGTTTGTTTTGCCAAGTTCACGTACCATTCAGAATGTTCTTTCCAAGATACCTTTAGAGCCCGGAATTAATGAAGGTTTCTTTGGTCATCTAGCAAGACAAGTGGAGACAATGACACCAAAAGAAAAGTTTGTGTCCTTGAATTGGGATGAATTCAGGGGTCAAGGTGGTCTGTTTTTCAATGAGAAAAAAGGCATAATCATTGGCTTCGAAAATTTTGGTCCATTTGGAAACTCAAATTTGCCAGCTGATGAGTACCTTATATTTTTAATCCGAAGCCTTGATCCCAATTCCAATTGGAAAATGCCGTTGGCAATTTTCTTTTCACTATCCATGTGTCCCGGAGAAATTTTGAAGAAAATGATAGTGTTGATTATCACTAAGTTGCAGAACATTGGCTTGAGGGTTGCAGCAGCAGTGTGCGACCAGGGCCCTGCAAATCAGAAAGCAATGCGGTTGTTGCATGAAGAGGCTGCAAAGAAGACTGGAAGAGTGGAAGAACCTGAAATTATTGTCAATGGGCAGACCATTGTCACCTTCTGGGATAATCCTCATGTCTTCAAGAATATCATTAATAATTGGCGTCTTGATATTCACAACTGTATTGAGTATGGGCCTCAATGCAAGAGAGCATATTATCAGCATATAATTGATTATTACGAATATGACAAGAAAAACTTCAAAGTTGGGCTTCTGACTCATGAGCAGGTTTATCCTGAGGGTAAACAAAAAATGAAAGTGAAGCATTGTACTCAAGTGGCAGGAGCCACTGTGGCCAATAAGGTAAAAAATCAATTGTGGGTCACGAATCAATTGTGGGTCATTTTTTTCGACGTGTCACAGCAGACTCCACGGAGATTGAATCGATTTGAATTTCACGGTAGACCTTCCTCCAACCTTTCTTTGTCTCCCCAAATAGCGTGTATGTCCGAGCGACGACTGTAACAGCTCATATCAGGCTTCAAAGGAAGGCCCTTCAAAAAGTCGTGAAAAAAGCGCCCATCCAACGAGGCGAAAAATCGTTTGTTTTTCAAATTGCCACCGTGAAGCTATTACGAGGTAAAACGGGACGTCCTTGCTGATTTCACTGGTGTAAATCAACTCAGAAATTTTCTGATACTTTTGCATATCAGAACATTTCTCATGTCTGAGTTCTGATGTTTTTTCGGACACCTATTTCTGATGTTTGTGTTCCTGATACCTCAATTTTCTGATGACTAGTTCTGATAACATCAGCTGGACTCATAAAGACATATATCAGAACAATTATTTTTTTCTGTAAATATATATTTTGATCTACATGAGACTCGGAAACGGGGAAAACGTCTTCGGGAGGTCGAAACCGAGTCCGATCCAAATCTGCAGTCCAAATTGAGCTAGGTCGCCATCAACTCTCAAAACGACAGTAAATGTGATCCGATCTCATTGAGATAAAAACTGGCCTAGCCAAATCTTGCAAATAAGACACTCTCCAAATTTGAAACTGAAATTACGTTAACTTTCTATTTTACAGGGATCTCGTTTTTTGAACATCAGACATCTGAAACATTTCTAACGATTATATTTCTGATAACTAGCAGTTATCAGAAATCAGATCGACTTATCAGAAAGGTCTCTTTTTCTGATCTGATAACGTATGAAAGTATCAGAAAAAAACATTCCTGATGACCGCTTTCTGATAAATAATTCACGTTATCAGAAAATAATCGAAATCTGATGTTTTTTTGTCAAGTTATCAGAAAATCCACCGTTTATCAGAAAATTTCTGATTTGATTTACACCAGTGTTAGGTTCATAATAGGTCAGGGAACATAAATTTACCAAAGTACAGCCGAAATCATTCGATGCCATGGTGCGCGGGTGATGGCAAAATAGCGTTCGCTACCATGCCCGACCCATTATTTTTGACGAATTTTGCGGTAGTTTTTCTTATATTTTTTGTTTTCTGCGCTTCTGAATGACTGATGTATCACAGTAAATTCCATTTTTCTGCTCAGTCACATATAGTACTACGATACGAAGGTTGTTAAAGCTTAGGCTACAGCCCCGAATGACAACGCTAGCTCTTACTTCCAGTCCGCCATAAGGCTTTTTTTGTTGGGAAGGGGGCATTGCGGGGCTTACATAGCGCCCGGAAGGGGACCGCTCTCTAACTGCAGGCTAGACACCCGAGGCCAGTCCGGCCCTGTAGGAGTCAAATCAATCCCTACAGACTAAATATTCTGACTGAAATAGATTATAAACTGTAGCAATACCTCACGATGACAGGGTGTGGTCTTGGATTGTCTACCACACCGGCGGCCCTAGAATATGCATTTCGTCTCTAGTCCAGGAAGTTTTACTCACATCTGTCTCACAGTGAAATAAGCCAGTTTATGTCGGTTTATGTATTTTTCCTCTTTGAGTGAAAAACGTGCCTGCTTGGTTTATTGAGAACCAGGGACCTTTTATTAATAAAAACAAGAAAATATCTTGCAAAAGTGGTCAATTTACAAGCAAAAAGACGAAATGGCCCACAATTGATATGACCCAGAATTGATTCATTGTGCTACAGATCCTGCAGTTTTCACGATTCCGAAAAATAAATTCAAAAGTGAATTCCTCTCGCATTTAAGCAAATCATATCCAAATTTGAGCTTTCTACAATGCTGACCCACAACTGGTTCCAAAAATCAATTGTGGGCCAAAACAGACTATTTTTAAAACAGCCACAGCTTAGTAAATATGGATGATAGACGGGGCTACTATGCTGCAAAACGTAGTCCAAGGACCATAGTTAAAGGCCCCACATGCACTTTTGTCACCAGGTCAAAATTAAAGGCCTTAATTTGGAATTTTCAAAAATGTGACCCACAATTGATTTTTTACCTTACAATTAAGTCATACAATCAACTGTCCTCCCATAATGGGGGCAATCCTATTCTGCCAGGTATTCATCATTTTCTCATTTAAATTAATTCTTGCCAAATTTTATAAAAATTATTGACAAATAATCTCTGTTAGTTCTATTTCACAGGTGCAGATGACACAGCCAACTTTATGCTCAAAGTGGATTATTTGTTTGACATAACCAATGGTTCAGCTCCCGGAGACAAACCAAAACCAGAACAACGTGCCCTTGTCACTGAAACGTCTTTCCACCTCGAGGCTTGGAAGGAAATGCGAAAAGAGGTGGCCACCTGGGCGTACATTGATAAAGAGGGCAAAAGAGTGATCATTCCTTGTTTGAAAGCGTGTCAAGATAATCTCTTAGCAGACCCTGCTTTGTGGAGACTCCTCGTGAAGGAAGGCCAATACACAAGTTTGAACCTCCGCCATGTTACCCAAGATTGTTTGGAAAATTTCATCTCTCAAATGAGAGCAACTTTGGGGCCCAACACTCATCCTACTTGTTATCAAGTCATGAATGCTTTTCGAACTCAGCTGATCAACAAGCATGTCAACTTCTCGCTCCAGAAAGGCAAACATTGCCAGGATGATGGAGCTCAAATGCTGACAGACATGCAACGTCTCATAAACAACAAGAAGACCCTCTCATCGGATAAGGATGAGAGTGTAGCTGGTCCATCACAACTGCGTGCAGGGCTTGAAACATTCTCTCACATTACGCGTGGTTTGAGAGCACCCCAGATAGCTATA